ATAGAAATGCTCTCATTCAGGGCGACCCACCTGAAGCTGTCACCAGGGTTAGACGTCTCTGGTGAGTACAGGACTGGTTGATTTCGGGGCACATCAGACGATGCCAGTGAGAATGCATTGATGGTACACGCAAACTCTGAATTATGATATGTAAAGATTGATAAAACTGGGACTACGTGGCATGCGAAGCACACATGTAGACAGGTTGTGTGATGCAGGAAAGGAGGCCAAATGGAGGTAAAAACGTGCGCGTACGAAAAAAAGCGGCATTTCTAAGCCGAGTGATGTGCAAAAAAGGGCTCAAGGTCACCCAGGTGAGTGTAGAAGCGGGCCAATTTCCTCATCGTGTGGCTCGTGGTAGCCTATTTGGGAAAACTGCAAAAGGCAGAGACACCAAAGTAAGGTTGTGGGGTAGCCTTATGTTAGCATGGGCAGTTTTGGTTCCAGCTACGGTACAATATTACAATTTCGAACGCCCGGCAAATAATTGCCATGGATTTCCTGGTAATGCCAATTCCCGTCTTATTTTCACTGTAGTGTCTGCTTCCGCTACTCCACAGTTTTAGCAAAATCCTGCTGCACTTCTATCGTCCTATGAAGATAAATTTGTGCAAATCTAGTTTGTCAAGTCTACAGCCAAATTGATGATAGCCCCTGGCAGGCAGTAAATCTGTTCTGTACGTATTGAGCTTCGGGTCTTGACGAACAAGTCTTGCCCAGGCAAACCTTTCTGGAGATACGCCTAAACGACGACTCGAAACCCTTTACGACATCAGCCCAAAAGGTCACACTTTGAACCGATTGAAAGGGGCTAACCTTGAGATCAAGTACAAAATGCCCTTTTCGAGAACCATAAACTCTTGGGGAAGAAACGTGCCTAACCATTCTCTTTGCAACCTAAAAGAGATTGCTCTCAAAGTGAAAGATGGTCAGAGATGAAGTGTGCTGCCTAGGCCATTAGCGGTCCATTTTTTACACAAATTGCTCGCAATCACTAGGAGGCCCTTCGGGCAAACTTCCTTAGCATCACTGAAAAATGTAAGCTAGAAAGCGAAAGAGGCAATAAGTAAGGTGCCTCGAGGTCAATGTTTGGACTTCTTCAGTTCCAAATGCTCGAACTTACCTGTAATGAAGGCCTAAAAATTCCGTACGACCCTTTCGCAGATGGCCTTAAAAGGGCTCCCCGCTCCTAAACAAATTTTCCGTAGCGTAGTGCAAACGCCCAGTAATTTTTCTTACCTGAGCTGCCAAGATTGCGCTTGCTTTACGCTGTCATTTTCAATGCTTTTTATTTGTATCCTGGTTGCACCCGGGCGCTTTTTCTGCCACCAGGATGCTCCAAGCAATCGACAACTTGTTTCTTCACTGAGATATGGCAGTTCGCTGTTACCAGATACTTCTCCTGCGGTGGCATTCGGGCCGCCGGCTCTCCGGTTATTACGTCCTCGTACAGTATTGCCTCAGTTGCAGCGCCATACTTAATTGTGCATTTCAGTTGTTCAGGACCGAGCGATTTGCGCTTTCGTACCGGGTTGATTCGCACCCACCACTCTGTGAACGGTCTACACATGACGGTGGGCACTATTCAATTCCCCACTTTGTCGTTGAACTGAAGATCGCTCTGATAAACATACGCACGTAATTCTGGCTTTAAAGACATTCGCGGTGCTAAAAGATAAATTAACGCGACAGGAAAATCGTTAGGCGCACCCTGTTTGACCACTTAAGGCCTGACAAAGGCGAAATTAATTGTCATTTTTTCACCATCTCTTTTACATTTCTCGTATTACGGCCTGCTGTTTGCATTCGGAATGATGCCCGACCCCAAGTCTAAACTCTTGTTACTATTGCGGCGTTTGATGGTTAGGATGCGGACACACAGTTCACGGCCTTGAAAGGCGATTCCGGCCATAGTGGTACCTTCGCGGTTTACAAAAAGATTCCCCGGGTAGCTTAAGTGCTACCTTGGAGCCTGCATTCTGCGTATAAATTGAAAAACGTTGCCAGAGTAAGGGTGCTTAAATACAACACATGGGTGGCGCTAGGGGCAACCCAGTTGAACAGCACTAGGGTGCACTAGGGAGCAAAAAGCCACCAGCTCTTTCTTGTGAGATGTGTAGCTACGCAGTTACCCACACACTTGACTGTTCAGCTCACAATCGCTCACTGGATCACTAGACTTGTCTTTTTTTCATGCTCACAACATTAAGGTGACCCATCGGACGTCGATTGTCTGCACCGCCTACTGAGCATAGCAACAATTTATGTGCTGACACCCACGTACACGCAAATGGACCTACACATAGGGGGACCGAACACAGTTAGCACACACAGACTCGCGCGCGCACGGAGCAGAAAGTCAACCTCTCCACAAGTCTACGGACAATTATGGAACACGTGTAGCAGTCGCACTGCGGAGAAAAACACGTTCCCGCCGTCCGGACTTTCACCAAGGAACTCTCACAGACGAAAGTTCCTTTTCTGACTTGCTCTCGTTTTCGCATTGTATTTATTTTTATACGTGTTGCAACCCACCACTATTCATACACCTTCAGAGTTGTATTATGGCTATCATCACCCGTGCACTAATAGATGCAAGAAGCTGCCATGAGCAACCTCGGCAGTGCGCCGGTGGCAAGTCTGGGCTCGTAGTATTGAGTGTGGTAGTATTGGGTGGCTCAGCGTCAGGCATGATCACAATGCTACGTAAAGAATAAAACCATGATTGTTAGGGTCTGTGGGTACAGTAGATTGCACAGAAAAGGAACGGTGTCACGAACAGTGGGCATCACGCGACATGATGTTAGAAGTTGAAGGTGCCGAGCCGAAATGAAATGAGAAAAGGAAAAAGGGGCATCTTGCCTGAAATACGACAGAAAATTTCAAGTTGCGGGAAACTGGGAGCCAGTTGGCATGATCCAACCGGTCAATTTGAACTAGAAATCAGACCACCATTGGGGCCTCGTGGCCTTGGTCTGTTGGGCTTATAGCCAGCGCCACAAAAGCGTAGGTGGGTATGATGAGGGTGGAGTTATTACCAAGGCTGATAAATGTTAGCAGAAACATCAGAATCATGGTGTACAGCGAAACTTAGGAGACCCACTGGTGTCGCTGCTACGGTGGAGTCGGTTGAGACGTTCCTTGGAAGAGTGAGCCAGTGACAATACAGAATCCGGAAAGCGATCTGTACAGCAAATTATTGGCTTCAAAATTCGGCCGAAATGGTTAAATCCAGGGTAAAGCAACAGATTTGAAAGCGTCCTGGTGACAGATTGGGGAAAGAGTTTGTTCCTGTTTGCAGTCAATTGAACAAGTGAACGAGGGGTACGGCCAAGAGTAGGCAGGGAGTATTTGCGAGTGTGCCATCAAACCGAGTGCGACAGTGCCGTGCATGACATCACATTTTGGACCGTCTTGTAAAGGACTTATTGTATGAGATCATTGGTCTGGGATGTTGAATTCTTAAAGGAGTGGGATTTTTTCAGCTTTGCCAAGCAAACCCTCAGAGGTAAAACGAAGCTTGCGTAAGATCACAAGTAGTTTTCTGGTCCCATTGGGGATCTTTGTGGATGCAGACCACAAGCCGGGTGGAGTGGAAACCAACCAAGCAAGCCTCCCAAACGAGGTGTTGCCAAAGGTCGAAATTGGCAAGACGAGAGAATATGATGAAATCAGTGAAGCCTGGTGAGTGCGGGGAGGCAGATAATATAACGTGCATTAGTAAAGGGATAAAATCTTGAAGTTCGTCACAATTAGGGTGCTGACAACAAGTAATCGAACTGGGCAGGACGGGACCGGATTTGTTCTTAGTAGACCAGTGGTCAAGCAGGAGTTGAATTTACCAATGTCTGACATCAAAGTATAAGGGGTTAATAGCTAAAACAGAGAGGTAGTATGGTCAGGGTTGAAGTTCGCCACAATTAGGGTGCTGACAACAAGTAATCGAACTGGGCAGGACGGGACCGGATTTGTTCTTAGTAGACCAGTGGTCAAGCAGGAGTTGAATTTACCAATGTCTGACATCAAAGTATAAGGGGTTAATAGCTAAAACAGAGAGGTAGTATGGTCAGGGGTGGCAAACGCGTAAGGGCTAACGGTAGTGGGCCTTTGAGATGATGGACTAGTTTATCTGGGGTTAATTACGGGAGTTGAGTAGTACCATAACCTAGGAGAGAAGGTAAATATAAGAGAAATGGTAACCAGGCCCCAAAGCACTACTATCAGCTTCATGTTGGCTTCAATTTGACAACTTGTGTACAAACTATAGCGAAAGGTCGGCTTATTTTTCGAACTATTTTCAAATTATTTTTTCGTTTACTTACCAACTGAACTTAAATACATCAAGCGATCACAGTGCCTGGCTGCTTTCGTCGAAAAATAGATGAGTGTTTTCACGATGACTTCAGTGGACCTTCTGTGGGTAAAATTTACGAGTAACTAGGTGAACAGTTCCAGATACACCAGAGTTGACTGTCCCGGGGGATATTCTGGACCGTGCGTTACGGCACTGTTCACCGTCACCGGTTCCATCAATCAGTGCCCCGGTACTTTGAAACTAGAGGGCCATTGTCGACTACAGCTTCTGAGAAAGTCTTTCTTTATTCCAAACAACCGCAAGGTTCGCCGCAACAGAAAAATACTCTCCAAATCATTGAATGGGCCAATCGATACTTTCTGCGCATAAACCTATTGCTTTTTAACAGTGTTCTTTTATAACTATCCATTCGCGTCGGAATATCCCAAAGCTATTCCTTTTATAACCCAAAGACAACCTGCACTCATCAAGCTTAGCGGTTTTGCTGGAAGTGAATGAGTTTTCCTCTTTCGTTCCCCAACTTTCACACTGTTTCAAGAACCCCTGACAGATGCTTCATGCAACGGAGGGTTGGTGAAACGTGCATGCGCCTTGGGATTGAGGCTTATAGGCCAAGTCAACTCCGGAAATTGATAAAAGAGTGAGCATTTTGACATAAATAAACGCCGGCAGAGTTTAGGCCTACAGCAAACTGCATGCCCAGCTGTGGTCCATAATCTGCTTCATGGTCCTCGCTTTCATCCGTCATTGTTTCGTTATCAGTATATATTGGGATGACAACAAGCCAAATGGTCTTCAAACGTTTACTTCTGTCGTTTACGTCTTCGCAAGCAGAATCTTCCGAGATTACTGCATTACCACTCTTCGTCCTTCATGTTTCGTTCACAACAATCCTCCTAGTTCTTTTCCAAGGAAAACGAAGGGATACACAGGATATCACATCCGTGGAGATCGTATGCAGAAGAATGTGTACGTTGCCACACGAACTACTTTCCCATGCGTTACTTACGCCATGCGCTAAATTTCCATATAGCTTCCATTCGGGTGGGGAAGTTGATTTTCCATATGACTGACGATCCGCTTACCTGCGCAGCGTCTTGGGTTGTCGCCACAGTTTACCCCAAACTATGCCACCTGGACACAAGGCACGACTTTCTTTTGAGTTCCAGAACCTAATGGATGATGCGTTTATGAATCAGCCTATGGTCCTCACTGTGGATTTTTCTCCAAAATGCCGGGGCGTGATGGGCCTACGGCAGTGAAAAACTTCCGAGTTACGGCGGCTTCTTTTGTGCATAAGACCAGTTGTAGTAAGATATGTCCTACACCATTAAGTTTACAAACATTTCACGTTTTTTCTTGTATCATCTTATATCGGTTGCTTCTTTTTTGTTCTGCGGTATTATGTTTATTTCAGTTGGTGTTTATAAGTTGACACTAAAAATTTGCCATTAAATTTTGACCGCGATACTTAGTTAACAACGTACAAGTGTTTCATAGCTCCCTCATTTAATGAAGCTCTGTGGACGTTCGGATCATTTTGCGGCTTCTTCAATGAAACAATGCTAGAGCACCCGAAGAGCTACATACCTGAACTGGAACCACTGGCTGTTCTGCTGCACTACCTACTTGTCCGGTGCACTGAATTGAATATTGTCAAATGAGATATATGTTTTGATGATTTGAGTTTGCCGTGGCACTAAGCTTGTTAATGCTCTACCAGAACCTGAAAATAAGTTATATGAACGAGAAAACGGGGAACAATAACAACGCCAGCTTGGTGAGTAAAATTATTTCAACAGGAGTATATGTGCGAGCAAGGGAATATCGTATTGCAGATACAGGTTGGTGGATCCTGTTGCAAGTCCGAATGCAGGTTTCGTGTCTTCTTCGGAGTTGTAGCAGCCGCACGTATTCTCTGTTCGTGAATAAAGCGCCGTAAGTCCTGAGCAGCTCTGCTCTGAGTTAGGCGATGCGCGTGGCTCTGTTGAGTTGTGTCGTGTTGCTTTGCTGCTATCCTAAATGTGGGAACGTTTGCCTGCGTGTGGGCGTCCGCACATAACTTGTTGCTACCTTATCAGAGAATGAACAGTCAAAGTCAGATGCGTCACACTTGTGTGTCGTGACTTGTATGTGTAGGCAAAGGAGGCGAGTCTTGGAATCTAGGGCTTAACTGTGAGCTGTTGGGTCAAGTTAGTCACGACTTTGTGGCGTGGTTTGTGAGCGTAAGAGAAAAAGACGGATCTGGTGATCTAGCGAGTGGCGATGAGGTGTACAGTCACGTATGCAAGTTGTTATTTAATTTTAAAAAAAATTTTTGGAGCCTTTGTGGAAGCATTGTGTGCCCCACAAAAAGCCATTGGCTTATCGCGCTTCTTTTGTTGCTGACATTCGGACATCTTAAAGCAAACTGTGGTTTTATCCATCGTATTAAGATGGTTGCAGTAACAGAACCGCTGTTATCCGTTTTCATCGACAAATCGGATCACGGTTGCAGTTCTGATGGCGCTTCGCTCGTCTCCATGATAGACAGCCCTACAGTTCCCAAGACTGTACGTTCCTCCATCACCTACCAGTTATCCACCCTTCTGGTTCATTTTCTCCAGATCCAGTATCCCCATGGATCCAAAAGTTGATTTGACTCCAATTATGCTAGCTCCAGATATCCTGGCGAGCGTCCTGGTGATATGAGAAAAGCATGTTGAACTGCCTTAAATGCATCTAAATTCTCCCAACTGCTCAACGTACGCAATTTTTCTATCAACGAATTATCTAGATCCACGTGACCCGACGCCGTTTTTTATAAGTTTACTTCCCGTACTTTGTAATGTATTTTTAGAGCAAGTTTCCAAACCAATGGAGTATCACACTTCTTGACCAAACTTGTCTAAGGCGAAATGGATTGGAATCAGAGGCCGTTTATGAAGTTCCCGCAAACGGTTTTGAAAGCAACAACAAGCCCCTTCTGCTCTTGTTCTCACCGCACAAACTTGGCGGACTTGGGGAAGTCCTGTGATTAACCCTCTTGTTGAGCTTCCCTCCGAATCTCGCTCACCGATTTCACAAAGATTCAAAAGGGGCTCGGGGTAGAGGCCAACGATGTTCAAAATTTCGAAAAAAAGTGCATATGCTGTGCTTCTGAATTGGAGAGGAATAAATGGGAAAATATCTTGGTTGATTCCCTTCTACTTTTATGCTGTACAACGCGATTGCCCTTTCGTGTTATTTTGGTTTCGCCCCCATACCATCATTCTTGTTTCTGACATGAACATAAACCGTGTTGTTCAAGTTCACAGGTGGTTTTGCTAACTTATAAGCACGTAACTTTGAGTCGGTGGGGACTTTGAGATCCGTTGGGAATTAGCAGTTCCTACAGTGGTGTACAGAATCCGCCATAGTCTCACGGTTTGAGATTTGTAAAGATTTACTATTCTATTACTGTATTTATGGTACCGCATTTGTAGATAAACCTCCAGTTGGACGACTTATCTTTTGGGGCCTTGCGTGTAACTCGACATGGCCCAACAGGTAGGCGAAAAGCCACCTATAGTGCCCAAATCTTGGAAATCAAATATCCCGTGAATCTTGGACGCTAACGCAAATTCGAGTTTGGAACTCTGGAACCAATATGACCAGAGCAAGAAGCGGCACGCTATTCAAAACCTTGTTGAACCCAGAGTTCGCCAACTTCATGAACGATAGTTCTGATGACACGGTTGGTCGTGACATTTGCTTTTCTCAGCCTTCTCTGTTGTGCCAACATTCTCCTCATAGACAAGCGTAGCTGATAGTGTATGGTCCAGCAGGCACGCAGGTAGACAGAGAAGTAGGTTATAGAGTAAGTTACTGGAAGAAGAGATCGCAATGGATATAAAAGAGCCAGAGATTAGAAAGTGGATGCCAGCGTCCCGCAAGAAAATGCCGTTGATTTATGAGTTTCCAGACGGCGAAAGCTCGATATCCGGCAACTGTGAACGCGTTTCCATCAAGTGAGAAATTTGCGGCAGACGTAAACTCAAAGGAAATAGAATACACGCAGTTTTCTACGAATCGGATTAGAAAAATCGACGCTGCATTTACTCGGATCGCGGCGCATGAAACCAATTCACACATGCCGACCTTTACGCCACACCGTCAGGTTTCAATCTGCCAAATATAGAGATAGTTAACTTCAGCCGGAATCCGGCGAAATTTTGAAAGTTTATCAAAGCGCTAAAAATTAGCGTAGCCGATGGGATCATTTATGATAGCAATAAATTGATGTGCGTTGTCCATTATCACCATGGTGAAGCCAAGGAAGACATTGAACATTGCGTGTAACTTCCTTAAAGACCAGGCCATCAGAAGGCCATGGATATATTTACGGCGCAGTTCGGCAGGTCACACGATATTGCTCCGTCGTTAATGAACGAACCAATGGTTGGAGGACCCACTGCTTGAGGACGTCGATGTCTTAAGAACTCTGATGAGGGAAATGAACTGTGGCCCCGCATTGTAACAAATGCATGGCGGACTTGAGCGGCTCAACAAATCTCAAGCGTATAATGGGACACCTGCCTCGGCGTTTGCAACAAAGACGGGCCGATGCGACAAACGACATATTGCGTTCGGGATCAGAGCCGGAATTCGACCATCTAGTATCTTTCCGTAACAGAAATGTATCCGTTGCTTCAAATTGCTGCGGTGCCGTTGCCAGCCCAGGGAGATAGGGTAATCAGATAGACAAGGTAAGTCCAGAGCGTCTGCCTAGAGAAGCCCGTATCAACGTCGTAGCTAAAAAAGCGAGTATGGCTTGTCCTCACTGTTCTCGGGCTCATAGCTTTTCAGATTGTGGGGTGTTTGGAACCCTGCTTCAAGTTAAGAAGCTCAGCAGACTGAAAGACTTCAAGTTGTACTTCAGTTGCCTAGAGCCCAACCACATAGCGTTTGAATGTCGATTTCCTACACGTTGCGCCCACTCGAATCGCAACCAGCAACGTCACCGTCTGCTTCACGACACACAGCGGGTTGTGAATAGGGCTACGAAAATTGCCAACGTCAACTGGACGGTAGTTGAGAGACCCAAAAGCTACCCCAAACTCATAGCGATTCGGTTGATTGGGCCAAAGGAGATTGTACTAGCTAATGCTCTGTTGCACAATTTTTCTGATACCACCCCCACTAACGGCAGATGTGGCAAAGCAACCTGAGTTAGAAGGTAGAGCGATGCGCATAGAAGTATCATCGGTAAGTGCCCCCGAAATCAAGGATACCATGGCAGTCACCTTTGTCATACAGTCTTTGCATGACGGGTATGTTTCAGACGTCCATTGTGCCTACGTTATCGGATCACTTTCTATGACCGAGGATGTTTGAATCGGATTTTAGCGAGTGTAAGGGTATAGATAAACCACTGTTTCTACAGAACAATAAGATTATGAAAGCCACAGAAAAGTCTGTAAGCTTGCTGGACGGTCACTATCAGATGCCGCTGTCTTGGAAAGTCGACTGGAGGAACCTACCTAGTAATATAAGTGTAGTGGAGACACGCTTGTCTATTTGAAAGGTCGCTTGTTGAAGGATGGTCAACTTCTTTGACACCACACCGAGAACGTAACTAGTTACGAAAAAAGCTTATGTAAGACGGTCGCCAGTTGGTTCAACAGAGGACTTGCGCCTCATCCCGCATCCTCTAGTCCCCAACCATCTAAAGCCTTGGAAGCTCCGTGTGATTTTCGGCCGCGCTGCCGAAGGTAATGATATTTCCATCAGCGACTGTTTATTTTCTGGACCTAACCTTACAAATAACATCATTGGCGTTTCACTGCCTTTCCGACTCCACGAAACTGCTTTGTCTGCAGATACAGAAGAGATGTTCCTACAAGTACGCTTGCCACCAGAGGATGAGGCAGCGATCAGTTTTCCGTGGTACATTGGCGGCAATCTGAAAAATCCCACACGTTTATCACCTTAACGTATACCCGTTTGAAGCCATCTCGTTCCAGAGTTGCCCTGACTTTGCTCTGCGTAGGAGTGCTGGTGACAGCAGCAGTGATTTCGAGGAAAAGACAGCCTCTGCAGTGAAGGGAAACCTTCAAGTGGATGATTGCCTCGTATCTGTGGAATCCGCTAATATAGCTAAAAACTAGTTTGCGAACTCGGTTCGATGTTGAATTTTTGCGGATTTCGTTTGCTTAAGCGAGTAAGCAACAATCCGGAAGTCTTGAGTACTATCTCTATTGGCGAGCGAGCTTTCTAGCTAAATGACCTTGACATTTCAGATTCGAGTTAACGCAAGATGCTGGGCCTGGTCTATCAAGACTGGTCGCTTAGTATCCAAGATCGACTTACCGGCACACCCAACGACCAAACACATATACTTTCTTGCATCGCCTCGATTTACGGCCCCTCGGATTCGTGGCCCCAGTTCTACTTCAACCCAAAGGATTATTATGGTCTCTGCGAGAAAAATTTGGTCGAGATGAACCAACCAGCCATGGAAACTGTTGGACTGTTGGTAGCGTGACATACAAAGGATTGAAGCGTTGGAAACCCCTCGATACCTCATGTCTACTGGGTTTGATATGTCACGCTGAGCTGCATACCCTCTCCGATGCCCCAGAAGTTGGGTACGGATCCGTCGTTTATTTACGTTCTATACGCACTTCCGGGCTGGTATGCTGTAAGTTTCTGATCGGCAGATCCAGTGTTGCTTCCATGAGGCCTGTTACCGTACCGCGACTGGAATTACAAACCGCCGCCTTCCACGTAAGGTTAATGATTCTTGCCCTGGTGGAAGTGAGCTTGAAAATAGACCGCACATACTGCTGGACCGACGCTATGATCGCAATTTATTACACTAATAACAGAAAGTCTAAATACAAGACGTTCGTTGCTAATAGGCTGGGATTAATCCACGAGAATGCCGAAGTATCGCAGTGTATGCATGTGCCAGCACGAGACGATCCAAGAGATCAAGCATCAGGAGGAGTCGCTGGTAGCCGCGGTGATTTTCTAGATAGTTGGTTGCATGGCCTCGCCTCCTACAGAGCCCAGAGCACACATGGCCAAAAACGAATGTTAAATGCTTTGCCGAGAATAAACCGGGCTTCGAGGTTAAAGAGGCCAACGTTCTGAACACTACTGCCTTAGGAGATTGCCAAACTGCTCTCTTACTATTCTTTATGGACTAGGCTGAAACGAGCCATAGCACGGACGACGCGGTTCATATTACACATTCGCTTAAAGTCAAATAAAGAATGGAAGCACGTGCTCTCACTTGGTGAGCTGAGGGCAGCGGAATATTCGCTATTGCAATGCGTGCCGCAAAACGCCTTTCAGCATTTGCATGATTCTTTCACCATAAAATCACGTCCTGACGGGACCTGAATGCAGACTCGTTCAAAGCATTGCATAAACCCTCTCCAATATTCCTTGAACGACTGATGTGCCGGAGGAAAGCTGCCGAATTGTGGCTTGTTCCGATGCCGCCATTACCCACCATACCTCCGAGTCAACACCACGTTACACGTTGCTTGGTTAGACACTACCGTGAGTTAGAGGGACATAAGTCGCAAGTTCTAGCTTTCGTGCTTCAAACATTTTGGGTTGCCAAGGCGACAGCCACAGTTAAAAAGGTTGTGTGCAGGTGTTTTCCGTTTAAGACAAGAGAGAATATGCCAGCAGAACAGGTGAAGGCAGAGTTACTGCCCTGCAGTATTCAGGCCGATTACGCTTCTGCCGCCGCTTGTGTGGAGTATTTCCGTCCCTTTTTCCTACGCAACTGACAGCAGTCGAGGAAGCGATACGGGTGCATATTCCCATTTTTGGTTGTTGGTATGTTCGCCGAGCTTGGCAAGTTCGGCGAACAGACCAACGACCCAACAGCGCACCTGAGCTACCTACATTCCACAAGGTTACTAATTCTCATGTTTGATGACGCGCGCACTTCACATCAAGGTGGCTCGTTCCTCATCGATTGGCTTCTTTCTCATGGCTCTTCCGCGCTCTATTAACCGCTGTGTTTCACACGTGGTTTTGTCCTCTTGTAAGCACGTGGCTTTGAGTCGATGTGGACTTGGAGATCCGTTAGAAATTAGCAGTTCCTACAACGGTGTATAGAAGCCGGCATAGTCTCACGGTTTGGCGTTTGCAAAATTTTGTTATTCTATTACTGTATTTATAGTACCGTGTTTGTGGACTAACGTCCAGTTGAACGATTTGTCTTTTGGGGTCTTGGGCGTAACTCGACTTGGTTCAAGAGATTGCCGGGAACAACCTATAGGCCTTTGGTTCAACCACTCTGGTTCAGAGTCTTTTGGCGAGTATTTAACTGTTATTTTATACTCTTCATAATTACACAAGTGATTGAGCTTTCAAGGTTAAATTGTTTCATTACAGATGCATCAACGGAAAAGTGTTCGGCAAAAATGTACGACAGATAATGAAGATCTTTCATAGATGGCTGCAAGACGAACAATAGAATATCCGAAAACGGTTACAGAGGCCTAAAAGCAATATTTGATTGACAGATGTGCAAAATGTTAACACTTGTCGAATAAATGTTTGTAGTTCATACCCCTCACCTATTCGAGTGATTTGATCGGAATTTGAGTCATCGCGGCCCACCGTTTGGGTATTCGACAATCCGCACAGGACGATTCTCAGTGAGCGCCGATTTGGTGCACAAACCCAGGTACTTGATGCAGAACGTCTGCAGTACTTGTTTACTTTCCACGGTAGGCAGGCCTGTCCAAGACAGGCCGCCTGAATGCAAAAACCCAAGGACTGGATGTGGAAAGTTCCGCGTGGAGACTTAATGGACTGTAGACTCAAGGTTCGGGTTTTAAAAGGATTCCCCGTCGCAGAAGAGTGTAGTTTCCGGAGACTAGCGCGGTTTTTTCGTGTCGTAACAGGATACGATAATTTGCCAATCTGAACTTGCGATGCAGTCATCGCCATGGAGGGGAGCTTTCTTCTTCCAAAGCCTTTACAGCTAAAACGCACGTTGATGTGTTGGAGATTCGCAGCTTTACCTACTGCTTCTTATTTTGTCGCGTTCAAGAAGTGAAAAACAGAATTTTGAAAAGAGATATGCCTTTTAGCATCGCAGAGCCTTATAGACCAAATCCCATTTCAAACATATGCCGATTGGTCAAAATGAATCACAAGACATGTGATAAGACTTGATCTTGGTGAAAAGGTTACGTGCCTCAAAGGGATCATAAAATTAGGGGCTGTCGTTTCCTGGGGATGAAGCCGGTAAACATTTGAACTCACTTAGTTTGAATGGGTTGCTTCTCAACCTTCAAGCGAGTATATTACAGAGAGCTGGGACACAGTGACGAGGGCGGTTGTTTTTCCTATAGAGAACCTCCAGGATAAAGTGGCTAGATTCAACAAATTTTTGTGGATTTTAGGTGCCGGAGAAACCTCCGTCCGCGGAGGCACAAGAACCATACTCGCCAACATCTGTAACCTTGTCTGAAGAAGATGAGCTCAATTCACTGGTGGGATAACATATGTATAATGTTATTGCAACTAAAACGCGGACCATAAAATAGATTTGAAGCACTGCAACCTCTTTTGGTATATACCAAGAACCCGGACCATATTCACGAAGTGTTGTTGCCATATCTCTCAGTGAATGCCAGTCATCTTCGTCATTATTAACCGTAATATGCCAGCAGTATATGCTGGCGCTTGGCCATTACACAGCCATGAGGGGAAACATCCTACCTAAAGAGCAGAAAGACGAATGAAGGTGCGACTTTACGTACTTCGTCTTTGGGAAAAATGGCCACGAATGATCTGACTACATCTTCAAGGACGATTGAAAATATACGATATCTTGTCAAACTAGAACGCAATAAGAGGGGGTTGAGCCGGCTTCCTTCTGAAGCTGCATCTGGCAACTCCACTATTGTTTGTAGCGTGCTATGTTCTGCCAAATTTCCAGACACCTGGAAACGAGGTCACATGGACCATATCCATGATGGCTTGAGGAACCCAGGACACTCAGTTTGACTGTAGCTGACCTCAATCTACATTACCACTTCTCAGACTGTTACTCGTGGAGCATCACATAAAAAAACAGATTGTATGGACCAGTCGCGTTTTTTTGGACAGACAGTGATGCGGCCTTCAAATTCCATCATAGATCTCTCGCAGTCATCAGGATTTTGACTAAACAGAGTTGAGTGAATCCGCATACGGCGTCAAAATTGATGGATGCTACCATACCTTCCTGACAGCAATCAGAAATGAACTCGATTGTATTCAGTGCCGCCTAAGTCCAGTCCGATGGCTTACACATAGAGTTATAAAATCACCTTCAGCAGTGTAATTCCGGTGCTTCGCCACAGTAAAGCACAAAACGTTGAAATAACAGATTTCTTCACTTGGTTCCAATGAAATCACGGACTTCATAGGTTCCCGGGACCACCGGCTAGGCCTTACGGTGTTCATTCAGCGTTCTTCCGACTCTTTCGGCGTCATTTGCAGCGGCGCTAAAGGTCTGCATACTGTTGTCACTGCCGTGGATATGAATCCTCAACTACGTGG